TGGAGAAATATTTTCATCAAATACAACATATCTAGAGATATAGACTCACCCTGTCGGTGGATACAGACATCTGTAACCCTTATGCTGAATACTGTAACCCAATAATACACATGGAAGAGAACGATGAAAAAATTTATTTGCTGCATAGTCTCAAAGGTATGAAAAACACCGACACCCAAAAACCTGGAATGAAGAATAGCCTGGTAAGCGACTAAACAACAAAGAATATGGTGAATCCATTTGCAAATTAGCTGACGGAATTCTGTTTATTACAAAGACTTGCGGTACATAAAGCTTCAACCCAAAACCGTTTATGGATTCTTGCATGAAACATTATTGTAAGACCTAATTCTACAATATTTTTATGTTTCATTTCTGCTATTCCATTTTGTTCTCTGAACATGATATCTATTGCACAATTCCATTATCAGTAAGATGAGCAATAAATTATTTCTTAGCAAACTCACCACCTCCATCACATTGAAAAATTCTAATTCTTTTCTCAAATCTCATTTTAACCACACGATGAAATTTTATAATTGCAGAGAAAATTTCAGATTTTCTTTTCAAATGATAAATCCAAAAAAAAACAAGTATAATCATCCACAAAAACTACATAAAAGGGGATAACTTTGATTAGATGAAACTGAAGCAAAACCCTATTAATCTGAACGAATGTTAAAAGAGGTGTTGTAGATGTCTTATCAGTACTACTAAACGAGAGTTTGTAACTTTTTCCCATCTGACAACTACCACAAACAGAGTGTGATTTATTTCATGTATCAACATTAATCAACTGTTTAGATTCTAAGTAACATAGGACTTTATCTCGAGGATGTCCGAGTTGTTGATGCCACACATCTTTTGATGTTCTCTTATTTCAATTAGAAAATAAAGCTTCTTTCACATCCTCAAGTGCATAAAGTCAGTCCTTTCTACTTTCACTGACTAGAGTTCTCCATGTGCTCCTTTCCTTAATCAAAAAACGATTTGATGAGAATTAAAAAATACAAGGAAAATCTTTTATAAATTGGCTAACAGATAATAAATTCATTTTCATTTCTGGCACCAAAAGAACATTAGAAATATTAAAATTTTCAGACCCAACATCAATATTTGCATCACTAACATGTGAAATAGTCAATTGCTCACCATTGCCAACCATGATTGTATCTCTACCACTATAAGGACGAAGGTTTTGTAGTTTACCTGGGTCTCCTGTCATATGAGTCGAAGCACCAGTGTCTGGGAACTATTTTGAGTCTTGGGAATTTGCTATAGTCACTACAACAAGAGTTTGATGACTATATTTTTCTTGGTACATATGATTTAGTCGATGCCATCATTAGTTGCAGTGTGTTCAAATTTTCTACAAATTTAACACTTTTCCTAGGGTGTCTAACCTGATTGCTCTATTTACGAATCTTGTTGGAACTTTTGATTCATGTCTTGAATATGTGTATCACCACTTTCTTGGTTTGTCGATGGCACACCACGACCCCTGTTATTTTTCTGCCATGTTTGAACAAATCCACGATCCCGAGAATTGAAAAACTATTGACCACCAAAGTTATGTTGGCCTCTAGCTCTATAATTTATAGTACCTTTGTCAAGTTCAAAATTTCTCTGTTGTCCAACAAAGGCTATATTCTGATTTGGATACGAGTGTTCCTCAAAGACATGTGGCTGATTTCTATTCTCATGGCTTTGAAGAAGTGATATAACTTCAAAATAGGAAGGAATCAATGGCGTAAATATAGTGGCAACAAAGCTCTCATATTTTCGACCAAGTCCATTAAGAAGCCAAAATAATTTATTTTATCTGGTACATGTTTGTCAATAGCAGCCAAATCATCACAAATACTCTTGACTCTGCATATGTATTCTGATAGGGTCGAATTCGCAGGGTCGAATTCGCTTTCTTACAAAGTTGGAGTTGCTGGGTAAGTTGAAACTCCCTAGCTTGAGAATTACATGCATAGGCATTCTTCAAAGCTTTTCATACTTCTGCAGAAGTCTTAAAGCCAATCACAAGACTGTGATACTATTCCGACAGTGTCCCTGTAATCCAATCTTTAAGAAGCCGGTCAGACTTCAGCCATTTGTAGTATGTGTTTTCGATTTCACCCTTACCATCAGGAGAGGAAATCTTTTGACCTGATATAAGGCAATCACCATTAATAAATCATGACTCTCAATCGGGGATCGTATTTGGGTTTCCCATAACAAATAATTGTTTTGTGTCAATTTAATCGACACAAAATTTCCTATATTAAGGGTGGAAGGATATGGATATTGACGATAGAGTACCCATTGGATCACTAACAATACCGATCGTTGATAGAAGGTAGGAGAGAATGGGTTTGGAGATTTTGGTTGTGTAATAAAGAGAAGTGTAGATTTTATGCGAAGGCCAAAAGAGAGAGTATGGACTAGACGTAAGTGTTTGGAGTGGTATGTACAAAATATGCTAGACCGAGGTTTAGAGGTTATGTGGTTAGTGAAAGAGTGATGGAATTAAGGGAATGAATGGTGAGAAATGTATACAACAGTTTACACCAACTATGCAATGGTTTTAGAGAGAATGAATAATGGGAATGAAAGGTTTTAGAGGGTTATATGGTGACTAGCAAGTGATGTGTATGTTGCTAGGTAGAGATGAATGAATTGGGAAGGCTGAATGAATATTCAAGTGCAACGCCCATCAAATATGCAACATCAATAAGCTACAGGTGAAAAAAGAAAAGAGAAGAAAAAGTGCAACGCCCATCAAATATGCAACATCAATAAGCTTAGAGATGAAAAAAGAAAAATGAATCGATTTACTTCGAGATGCGATCGGTAAATCGAATGAGATCCTGCTCGTCCCTACCCGTTTTTAGAAATAATTGGCAGTTTTTGAATTTGTCAATGGGAATTGAAATCCTGACCGGTAGCTAAGGCTCAAATGGTGCTACCGCCACGACTTCAACCCCATTCCGATTTTGTTACATACAATATACACTTGCCTATCTTGTTACATTCTCTATGATTGTCTTTCCAAAACTATGAAAGAGTAATATTTCTATAGTTACCTCTCCAAAACTTGTTTTTATTAAGCTGAAGTTAAAAGAGCGCAAAGGAGAATATTCATAGTTTTTTATATGTTAGGGGTGGCAATGGGTCGGGTCTTCGGACTTAAAAAAAATGATATGGGACCCGACCGGACCCAAATTTATTGGACTCGGACCAGACCAAAACAATTAAAAATATATATATATTTAACTATTTAAATATATTTTATATATTAGGATCCAATAAATATTACCCACACCTGACCTGACCCGACCCGAATAATGTTCGGGTCCGAATCTTGGGCCTAGACCTAGACCCAGATCTGGTCTACCCCTTGGGTCTTGGGTTGGGTCTGGGTCGGGGTCCATTGCCACCCCTATATATGTACAACTGCTTGGTTTTGAGTTGCAGAACCTTTGAAATATAGAATGGTATGTGTACGACATACCTTATTAGTGAAAACCAGTGTGTTTTGTGTCTCCACATATGTATAATTTATATATGTTTAAAGATGATTAATCAGCACATCATGATTAAATGACTGAGATCAAAGTAATAATAGTGTCATGCATTCATTGTAGCCTAACAAACATAATTGGTGATTTTTATATTTGTTTTTTTTTTTTTTCATTCTCAATGGTTTAATAAATTTCAGACAACTATAGGCCTTGGGCCACTTGCATTATGTTTGAGTGGGGACACTTAAGATTGCTCATTGAAAGTTTTGATAATATAGTAAGTTTCCCTTCTAAAACATGAAGTATGAAAAAATATAATTAAGCCATTTTCAAAAAAGTTATGTATTTTAATCATTTTTCTTAAAATTAATAATTGCCAAGTCATTCAGTTTGATGCGTTTTTTACTCTCAAATAACATTCTATGCAATATTTGAGCCACGGTTTTAAAAAACCGTGTCCATAGGCTAACATTTTCATGGTTTGTATTAGAAAAAGAAAAATCAATCATTATCATTATCATCATCATCGGAGTATTATCCCAACTATTTGGGCTCGACATAAAAAAGAAAATAAATAATTTAAATTTTGATGATGTTAACATAAGGTTCTACGCATTATAAAAAAATTAGAGCTAAACCTCAAAATCCCATCACAAAATGTATTTCTTGCTTCAATAGATATCTATTTTCTACTTTAATTTAAAATTTTAAGCTAAAAAAATTGAGCATATCAACAAATATGTGAACGCTTAAAAATAGACGGTCTAGATAATGTGTTATGAGATGCATTACTTTTATGACTTGGAATCATCTTTTTTTTAAATCCATGAATGCCAGAGTTCAAGATGATCAGTAAGAGATTTTCCCAGCATGGAAATAGATTTGGGTTTTTTAGGTGCGGTGTTACTTTTTTTCTTAAAATTTGGGACTTATATAAACTTTTTAATTTTGATCCATTTATTTTAAGCATGTGGTTTGTATATGTTTGCAACATTAAACAATCAAAGATACAATTTTTATCCTAAGATGTAATTTTGATGTAAAAAATTCTTAAGATAGCCTCAAAATCTATTTTATTGTATAGTTATAAAATTTTAAACTTAAAAAATAGTTCAAATCAAGTAGATCTATAAACACATAAAAATATTGGAAATAGATAGTCATGATAATGTGTTGCAAGATGTATTATTTTTATGATTTGAAATTTTTTTTCTGCATTCATAATTCTCGACGTCAAAATGATTAATTACAGGTTGTTCAACATCAAAGCAGCTTTTTTGATAGATTTTTGAGTTACAACTTAATTCTATATTTTAGTCTCGAGGATTTTTGAGTTGCAGCTTAATTCTATATTTGAGTCCCTTTAAAATTTAAATTAAAGAGAATTCCCTCCTTTTTTTTTCTTTTTTTTTTTTTGTTAAAAAACCGAGGTTCACTGCCACGAAACCCCGAATTTATTAACGTTTAATTTGAAAGCTTCCAAAAGAAATAAAAAAAGAACACGCCACAAAGGAAAATACACTCTCCGTCTCTCCAACCTCATCCCCCCTCTCTCTCTCTCTAGCCACAATGAGAGTTGCAGAGGCTCCTCCCCAAAACCCTAACCATAATTCTTCACAACAAGAGCTTCCTCAAAACCCTAGCCCTAATTCTCTAGAACCAGTTACCCCCATTCCTCCAAGTCCTAGACCTGTCCCTGTCCCTCCCACTAAGCTCTCTATCGAATTCGACAGTGAGAACAAAGTATTTGTGAACAAGATCTCCACTAAGCTCTTTGATGGGTTCGCAAAGCTCAAGTATTCGTTTCAGAGGAACAAGAATGGGGATATTCAGTACCCGCAATTAGGGTTTGTGACCAAGTACTTGTCTGTTTTGTATGATCATGATGAGAGAAATGCGGTGATTTCTGGCTGTCTTGATGTTGGTCCACGAGTGCAGATCAAAGGAGTTCATGATGTCAGTGTAAGATTAAATATTCTGGACTGTTCTGTTGTTTTCTTGGCGGAATTGTGATTACTTAAATTACTGAGTTGTTTAGTTTGAATTGAATGGATGACTGCTTGCATTTGTTGAGGGATGATGAATTTTATATTATTTATTTTTGAACTTGTTAGAAATTTTGAATTAAAAATTTGCAATATCTTTTTTGGTATTTTTTTTTATTTATATAATTTTTTTTTTGATTTTTCAGAATTGATATGGTGGAGGTTTTCTTGATTTTTGATTATTATGCTGGAATTATTGGAATTGGTTGGATGGTTTAGATTCGGTTGAATCAATGTTTTAAAATGCGGGATGCGACCAAAAGCGGTGGGGGCCGATGCGGTGATGCGGTCCCGATGCGGGTGCATTGCGACGATGCAGTCAACAAATATAAAGAAATTCTAAAAAATCTATAAAAATAGGTTAATGCATAGAAAAAATATATGAAGGTGATATATGTGATAGTAGGTATTTTAGTTTAATGATTAACTCCAAAAATATTAGTTGCCGGAGATTCTGTATCCACTATCCCCTAATAGAAACTAGAAACTAGAAACTTGAAAGTTGAAAGTAGCTTCATAAAGCATTCAACAATCAACAACCATAAGCACAAATTTGTAACCACAAACTTCAGAGTTACAAAATATTGATACTACAAACTAAAAGTCCATGTCTTTATGAAGATTAAAGAGTTTTGAAGTCAAGCTCAAGAAGAGTTAATATACTTAATACAATCATCCCAGAAAATTTTGAAGTCAATTTTTCAAATGTTAATCAGAGAAGTCATCTTTAGAGTCGTCATGTGCATCATCAATATCATCCTTGACAGCCTTTATGTATTCTTCTTCCTCGGTCTCCTCTGTGTCCACCTCCTCCTCCTCGACCTCTGGAGTTGATGTGAGAATGCGATTAGACCCAGCTCATGCTGCTCCTCTACTCCTCTGTACTCTAGTGTTTGGTCGATCTTCTTCATTAGCCCCTGTTGCTAACTTGACATTGAGCCATGTAAGATCCTCATCCTCAATCACACGCTCTAGTCTTGGATCCATGGTGCATTCACTTGTAGAATCACCATCAGCTTCATACAAGTGAATTGGGTTGAGCTTCATGCGATTTTGATACCTCTCCATAAGCCGCTCATTATACCACACATAAGCCAAATCATTCAACTTTTTCTGCGCCAACCTATTCCTTTTTTTTGTATGGAGCTGCGGTAGAAAATTGAAATTAGATTTTATATTAGAAAATTGAAAATTGAAAATTGAAATTGAAAGTCAAGAAATAAGGAGTTAAGGACTTACATGCTCAAATGCACTCTAATTGCATCACAACCAGATGAGTTACATGTGAGATTCAACACTCGAATAGCAAGATGTTGTAGATTTGGTGTCTCGCTTCCATATACTGCCTACCATGCAGCTGTATAATATTTTATAATTTAAATTATAATATAGATAAAAATTAAGGGTAAACATATAAACAATGGAAGTATATATAAATTCATAGACACATAATGATACTTTTTGCCTTTACCTGGTTTTGTAGTATCCCTATTTCAAGCAGCAATATCTCTCCCAAAGTTTCTTAAGGCTAACTTGAATTTAATCAATTCATGGCTCTGGATCTCATCCTGGATATCTTTGTCAAGCACCAACCTCTCAAGCACATCTAAGGACCCACAATTTATTACACGATCTGACTCAATGGATGGGTGGTTGTAGTGAAGAAAAAGGTTTAGAAAGTAACCGGCTGAATGGAGGTGCCTGTGAAGCTGGGTATCCCATCTCCTATAAAACATTTGAAGTATAGCCTTGCACATATTTTCAGCATCCTTTAAAACATTTTTTATCTCTTCTCTTGCCCTTTTCATTGCCTCATGTATGTAGTCCATGGCGGGCTTCACGTCACCATCAACCAGTCGAAGCACTCTCATTAAAAGGCAAGCCATCTCCAATGCAAGAATTATTTGACTCAAAAAAGATTCAGAATAGTTTTTTCGGCCTTTCTCCCATCCTTATGTTTTGACCATTTACTTTGACTCCATTGCTCTGAAGCAAACATAGTCCTCAAGGCACTTTTTTGCTTGGCTAGGATTCGAAGGTGAGAAATGACGTGGCAAATCTAGTGATACCCGGTTTCACTAATTCTCTCTTCTTTGTAAAACTCATCATGCTTAGGACTATGGTGTGATTGTAAATAAATCCAACAACAAGCATCGCTCTTGAAATCACCCCACTAAATAAAGATGTTGTACCCCTTTCTTTAAGCATAAGTTTAACACAATGAGTTGCGGAAGGAGTCCAAAACATATGTGTCCTTTTCAAAGTTAAGAAATGCCCAGATGCAGCATAATTGGCACCATTGTCAGTAATAATTTGTACCCATTTTTCTTTCAAACTCTACAATCTCATCCATCAAGTCACATAAGTATGTAGCATCATGTGACTTGTCTGATGCATCAATAGACTTAACAAAAAATGTACCTGTTGGATAGTTAACCAAAAAATTAATGAATGACCTCGACTTCCTATCGGACCAACCATCACACATAATAGTGGCCCCATATTTCTCCCACCCTTCTCTTTGAGAAATCAAAATTTTATTGACATCAAATACAACATCTTTTAACAAGGGCTCCTTAATCTCATGTAGTGAAGAAGGAACAAGTCATGGGCCATATTGCCCAATTACCTGGACCATACATGCAAAACTATCGAGAGTTATAGTATTAAAAGGAATGTCAGCCATGTAAATCCACTTTGCAATCTACTTACATACCAACTTCCTCTGTTCTTTCTTGTATCTATTTTCAATTGTAGTTTGTTTTGTTGTTATCTTTTTCTCCTGAACCACAATTTTGGGGCTAGGGGTGAAAAAAACATCTATTGGTCCCTTAGAGAGAGGTGTTCTTTTTTCAACACTACCACCAATATTTATAACCTTCGCTTGAGACTGGAGTTCGAGTACCCCTTTGCCTCATTGCAACTTCAGATATATATCATCATCATCATCATCAACATCATCATCATCATCAAATAATTACATATCATCAAGTAATTCTTTTCTTTTCAATTTTTTCTTCTCTTTATCTTTTTTTAATCTATCTATGTATTGTCTAATCACATTTTTTATTTCATCTGTAGCGTGTGGGCATGCTCTTGCATTCCCAGAAATTTCGGCTAAGTGTTCTTTTTGTTGAAAAATAAGTATTTCCACAGAGCATGCAAATCACACAATTTCTATTTTTCGGATTTTTTAGTTTGGCATATTTTCAAGCTAGATCCTTATTACTAGAAGATTGGGAAGAAAACATTGCCCCAAAAATAAATATTACTGTACAAGGAATAAAAGTTACCGGTTCTTGAAGCAGTGCTCGATTTCTTCACGGCCTTTGAAACCCTGATTTCTAGTCACAAATTCACCTTTAGGTCCCCAAATCAACAACCAAAAGGTTCAAATCAAGATCCAAGTATCAAATAATCCACAAATCCAAGATCTCAATGAAAAACAATTTCCGCTCAAATTTGTTTTTTGCTCGATGATTACAAAAAAAAACCACGAAAGTGGCTGTACATGATCGTTTAGGGGGTTTAATACCCCCAAACCATTTCCCCAAAGTTTTGATGGTCAAAATGACCATTTTGCCCATCCCGAGGGGTACCATTGAAAAAAAAAGGCGGAAAATTATGCGGTGCATATGCGGTAGATGCGCTATGCGCTCTGATGCAACGCATATGTGGCTGCATAGCTCCAAACCGCATATGCGGTGTTTTTCGATGCAGTGTTCACCGCATACCACATGATGCGTCGCATATGCGGCGATGTGGCCGCATTTTAAAACACTGGGTTGAATATAGATGCTAGACTGATTTTTTTGTTGGTAATTTGTAGTTCTAGAATTCACCAGCATTAGAATTACCTCTCTCTGTCTCTCTGCTGTAATTCATATAGTATACAATACATTTTCTGAATTTATTGAAATCTCATTAAACTCAAGTTTGAGAATTTTGATGTAGACTCCCCAAGTTTTGCTGTGAAGGTGTTTCATAAAATATTATTTCTAAGAATTACTTGAGTTTATCTATTACTACATCAGTGATTTATTTTAGTCATTTAATGTGAAAAAAATTATTTGTTCATGGAACTCAAAGTAAGTTAAGAAGTCTTCTAAGGCTTAAATGTTGCACATCAAGATTTTACTTGCTTTGTTGCAGACTACAAAAGCAATATATGGGTTATAACAAGGTCCAAGACAGTATTAAATAACTTGGTTGTAGATTTGGGGGTGTAAAAGGCTATGGTTTTGGAATTTTTGTTTAGTCAGGTGAAGTATGGTTGCTGTTTTTTAGTTTATAATGGAGGGACGATCAGTACATTTTTCATGATTTATATTTTGTGAGTATTTTACTGAGAAAGGAGCTTCACTGCCTGTTTATTAGTTTTTATATCAAATTACAATAAAAAACTAAGCATCTAGCTTTTGAAATAGAAAATTCCATTTTGCTAAGACAATTGAAATTTCAGATGGGTCAGATTGGAGATCTAAAATGTTTTCTTATAGGCTATTCAACAAAGAGTTTTTCTCTGTCATATAGTTGCAATGAGAATGATTCCAATGTCTCTTGCATTAACCTGGGTAGTAAACTTCAGTTCAAGTATTCCTTTAAAAAGGTGAGAAGTTTTCTTTTTCAATATTACCTTTCAATTTTTTAGTAGCTATCTTTCATTGGAATTGGCTGCATGGATCATTATTAATATCTCTTTTCTAAAGTGGATCTAGAGTTACGTGCACCTCGTTTCTTTTTATATTATAATAAATGCGATTGTTTGCTTTTTAATTAACTTCATTTTATCGGGTTATGCTATATTAAATGCATTAAGAGTAAGGATCAAAGGGTCTTGGTGAAAGATGAAGAGGTCAACGAAAGATGGAGAGTTTATTTTAAAAAATTATTAAATGTCAAACACAATGGGAACATAGCGGTAGAAGGAACCATTGGCATAAATGAGGGCGGAGGTCATATATACATATGTAGGATTAGGATATCGGAAGTGAAAGAAGCTTTGAAAATGATGAAGATAGGAAAGCCTTTGGGGCCAGATGGTATACTGATAGAGGTTTGGAAGTGCATGGGGGAGATTGGTGGTGACTGACTGGCCAACGGTTTAACAAGGTGTTGAGAACAACGAAATTGGCTGACAAATGGAGGAAAAATATTGTGATACCTATTTACAAGAACAAAGAAGGCATACAAAATTGTGCGAACTATTGAGGGATCAAACTTATGAGCTACACTATGAAGATCTGAGAGAGAGAGAGAGAGTGATTGAGCAACGACTAACACATGAAACAAGTGTATTAGAAAACCAATTTGATTTTATGCCAATGAGGTCAACAATTGAGGCTATTTTCTTACTTAAGCAACTCATTTAGAAGTTTAGGGTGAAGGGAAAAGACTTTCCACATTGTCCTTATTGATATAGAGAAAGCATATGATAGAGTACCTTGAGATTTGATTTGGTGGGTGTTGAAAAAGAAAGGAGTCTCTAAACACTACATTGACTTGGTGAGAGATATGAACGATGGGACGCTAACTAGTGTACGAACAACTAGTGGAGAGACGAATGTGTTTTTAGTAATAATAGGTCTACATCAGGGGTCAGCATTGAGTCCGTACCTCTTTGTCTTTGTCATGGACGACTTTGCTAGGCACTTACAAGATGAAGTACTGTAGTGCATGTTGTTCGCAGTTGACATAGTTTTGATCGATGAGACTCGAAATAGCATGAACACAAAGTTAGAACTTTTGAGGGATGCTCTAGAATATAAGGATTTTAAAATTAGTTAGACTAAAACATAATTTATGGAATGCAAGTCTAATATTAATAGGAGTAGAGATGAGGAAATAGTTAAGATTAGCGGTCAGGAAATACTAAAAAGAGCGCATTTTCGATATCTTGGGTTGATAATCCAGGAAAATAGAGAGATTGAGGAAGATGACGCACATAGAATTCGAGCTGGGTGGGCGAAGTGGAGATGTACAACCAGAATTTTATGTGATCGTCGCATACCAATGAAGCTGAAGGGCAAGTTCTATAGGAACTCTGTGAGACCAACTTTGCTCTATGGGGCAATATGTTGGCGGTCAAAAAACAGTATACCCATTAAATGAGTGCAGCGGATGAGGATGTTGAGATGGATGAGTGGCAAGACAAGAAAGGATAGAATTCAGAATGAATATATTATTGAAAATTTAGGTGTGGCACTAATAGGCGATAAGATGAGAGAGAGTTGAATTAGGTGGACTGGCCAGGTGTGGCCCATACCCAGTACAACATCTGTTAGGTGGTACAAGTTGGTTCAAGTGGAAGGTTTAAAAAGGGCAAGGGATAGGCCAAAAGGATATAGTTGGAAGTAGTGAGAAAAGATATAGGGACTTATGGCTTCACTGAGGGTATGACCCTTAATAGAGCAGAATGACAGACCAGGATTTGTGTAGCCGACCCCAATTACTTGGGAAAAGGATTTGACGATCATGATATTATTGAATTACAAATCTGATCTCTTTTTTTGAAGGAACTTCCATTCTAGGCACTGGCATAACTTGAACTGTTCTTGACATAATTATTAAGATTGTGATGGCATCACCATAACAATGGAGTTAGTAAGTTTGTACTTCTAAAAGACTTTTCTGTATGCCAAACAAGTAAAACTATGGTCTCAATTAATTAATATGAAATTGTTGTGTTACTTGCCATTATACTACTTTCTTGAGGAATCAACTTTTATATTGATAACAAGTTAACTATGTCTTTGGCAATCTGATCTTGTGCCTCTCGGCTGAGTAGTGGGCTGCAGTGCTGCACATGGCATGTGGATGTACAGCAACCAACATGCCTAGGGTCTCAATTAGTGAGATGTGCCTTTTAACATCTGAGGGTGTAAATTTGCTAATGCTAATGCGTCGGAAGATGGATGATCCACTCCGTTTGACCTCCACTAAATTTCCTATACCAAAAGCCAACAGGAAACTATTTTAGGAAACAAATCCACTCCAGTGCTGTAGAGTGTATAGAGCCTGACTTTTGTATGGCTACTAATCTTCAACATTTCCTTCGTCAGGTCTATGTTTCCACCCTTGTGGTTTGGGCTGTGTTTTTGGAAGGGTATTTTATTCAATCAATTACAATAGTGTTCAAGGTCTTATGGTGGTCAATGTGTATGTCTGTCATGTTCCAACACTGTTGAGCGTACATTAAAAAAATGTTATTACAAATGAGATGGAAAGAAGTCCCTGCCACTTTTTGTTTCTAATGTAAGCTGATCAAAGGGCTGCTGCATGTATTGCACTGGCAATGGGTGGCTCTCCTAGACCTAACCTTGGCTTTTAAGTAAAATTACCAACTGGAATTCCTGGTTACAACTTCATCACAGTTATAGTCCTGAAGATCGAATGTAATCCTAGCGTGGGTTTCCTCAGTTTCTCATTATTTGTGTTGGGAATGAGGTTTCTTTTTCTTTAGCTCTAGTTCCGAACTTTCATGTGGATTTATTTGGAGTTTTATGACTTAACCATTTAAAATCTTCCTACGACAACTATAGTGCATCTCTGAGTTTACTATTTTAGCTTTTTGACCATTGCTAGAGTACATTATGTTTTTGTTACAGATTATCTTATACCAATGTGTCATCTTGTTACTTGTTTGCATGACACGGACTCATGAGTTACTGTATCAATGGATTTTATGATGAACATTTTTATAAGAGATTTTAAATAAGAGATTTCGAGGAATGAAATAAGATGAAGACTATCCAGATACGATGTTTGAGCATAGTTATTCCCTAACTTTGTACAGTTTTGGTTTGAATTTGATCCAAAGTTCAATACTAAAATAAAGTTACTCATTTTTCTGAAATATTGGTCTCGACGTACCAGCGTGTTTGATGAACTACTCCTAGAAATCAAAATGATGTTGGTGAAGCTATCTAACTGCTAACAGCAACTGTTGAGTTTCCATGTCAAAGATCTTTTATTCCTCATTAATGATTGTGTATAACTTGATATCCTTTTTTTTTTAAGCTATTATGATTTGCTAGTTACATTGGTGCCTCTAAAATTATAGTTTTGTCCAACATCCTCAGTCCACTGGTGGTATTACCTGAATATAGGTCACTATCACTCATGTGTATGTTTAAAGATTTATCAGGCCCCATGTAGATGATTTCCAACATAGTTGCATTTTAGTAATTTGTTCCTATTATTTTTCTTTCTATTCTTCCTTTTGGATATGATTTTCAGTTGCCTTTACAAAAGTATTAATTCAACAGGCACAACAAGGAGAGGCAAGGTTGATTGCAACTCTAGCTGATCCTTCTTATAAACTTGAATTGGTATCTTCTGTCCCTTCAACTGGTCCGGTAAGTACAACAATGAATCTGTAAGGGATTGTACTAGACTGGAAAAATATATATCTTCTTTATCATATTTTTGTTTCCAGTTTGTGTATGTATTGCTCGTGAGAAACTGTGATGACGAACTTATACCATCTAGTATCTTCTGTGGTAGTTCCAACTGCTTCAGTTATTTTTTGCCATCCTTACAGCTGGTTAAGGTTCTCTTGATTTCTGGGGTAAATGGTGTTTGCATGGATTAGCAATTGCAAGTGTAGCCGACTTTGGATCTTGTGTTTTCATTTTCCGAAAATTCAGGAATCCATTCCTGCCATGTCATTGTTTGCAAATTGATCACTGGTCTATAATCTAGGCGTCTGTTTCTGTTAGTCCTTTCTTTATTCTCTGGAGATAGTTTTCAACAAATTAAAACAAGAAATTTCACCTTGTTACCAATATGTTTTGCATCTAATGCATTGAATGATTGCTGCTGTTTTCTAGATTCATTGTTTTGCACGAGTTTTACTTTCAAACTATTTGAGAAATATTAAGTTATGCTCTCTTGTCCTACTTTTACTTCTGGAATCATGGAGGGTGGATATTCATTAACAATTATGTGCTATGGTAACCATTGATTTGTATTACATACTTGTTACAATTTGCAGAGGTGTCTAGTTTATAAATGTGTTTATTTAGATTCATCACTGTTCCACTATTGTATCTTGTTGTATGTTCTTTTCTGCATTCATATGTTTATTGGCTACTACTTTCTTGATTTCTTCTATTCAAAGTAGATAACTTGTGGGAGTAACTAAGGAATGTCATTGCAGCCACGAGCATCATTGAAATTCCCATATGGTGAAGTCCAAGTGGAAGAAAAGGAGGTCGATGAAGATAAGAGAGTGTTGTCTCTTGGTGGGATCCTGAAAGGCAATGTCCTTAATGGTGTTTGCAGTGCACTACACAAGGATGGAAACTGGAATCTCATATATGCTTACAAGGTAAAACTTCTTAAGAACTGCTGAGTGGTATGATACGTCCTGGTCTTGTTTATATCTCAAAATTATTCTAAAATGGGAAAGTATACCATGATCTTGTGGGAAACTTTAGTTCTTGGGTTCATCACTGTTCCTTGAAGCAATGGATGGTAATGAAGTGGGGACCTGTTAGAACATGGTCGCGACCCCAATGGTGGATCCTATTCTCTCTCAATCACAATTTATCATTTCATTGGATGGTCTTGATCACAACAGACTGCAGGATTTTCTGTAGTATATGAATTCGTTTACCCCCCTTTCCAAAATTATATGACAGTCTTAGTTTTTGAGGCCCAAATTTGCATATAAATTCAATTTGGTCAACTCTATTGCTCGTGGGCTCATGGCAGGATGATGAACTGACATTCATTCCCAGTGTCGCATTGCCGTCTAATGTCTTCTCATTTGCATTCAAGCGGCGTTTTAGCCCTGTTGACAAGTTGAGGTATGTGGTGTTTTGCCAATCATCTTGCATTTTCCAATGTTATTTGGGAGAATGTCACATATCTAATTTTGGAGAGTATTTCAACCACAGTCAAAGTATTAATTATTGTTTCCTGAAATGTATCATTACATGCCTTTATAGAAATGTCCAAGGTGTAGCAGTGAATGTTAATGCACCATTGGAGGGTTTTCTCTTTATTTTCTTTGATAAGTGACAAGATGGGCTTCTTAACAGTCGGGAGAAGTGAGTATCTGTATAAGTTTGAAAGATAAGGTGCCTTTTTTATTTTTTTGGCTTTTTGTATATTTAGAGGAATTTGTTTCTTCAAATTTCCATTTCTTTCTTTTGTTGGTGAGGTGGGTCCTTTCCCACCTCACTCCTGAGGTTAAACCACTTGTTGACTTGTGGGAGAGGCAAAAAATAATAACCTCTGGTTTGACTGCAGCATGTCTTGTTGTCAATGCACATTTAGCGTTCCATGAAAATGCAGCATTTCTTCGAGTAAGATAAAACTCGTGGTTTCAATTTTATCTTACATACAAAAGTGTGGCATTTGCTGAGTGCAGGCCTGAGGTCTTAAGTGGCATGGCCCCTCGACCATGTGGCATCACCTAAAATGCTGCCCTAGCAGTGTCAAACGTGTTTTGGGCGACATCCAGAAAATACCTAAGTTTAAATTGAGACCATGCTTTATGTTTGAGTGTTATTTATTTACTGGTCAAAGTAAGTATTTTGCATTTTTTGGCAGCTACTTGTACAACTTTTACTCTAATGACTGGAGTGCTGTATACAAGCACAACTTTGGCGATGACCTGAAGTTGAAGGTTGGTTATGACTCTGAAGTGCGACTTGGATGGGCTTCTTTTTGGGTATGTAGAAATGATCCACAAATGATTTTTTTTATGGTTCTCAAAACAGAGGAAATCATGAAGAGGAAAGTTCAAAGGAAACATAAAGAGACTAGGATTCTTCCTTTTTTTTCTTTTTTTTTTTAAAAAAAAAAAAATATGAGAGAAAAAGTTACGAGGGACTGGGAAATTTGTAGGCCATTAAGGTTTCTTTGGATTACATTTTATATTTGATATTATTATTATTTTCTTTCAGGTCGGAAAAGAAAATGCTGGGGCGAAGAAGGCCCCAAATAAGTGCAAGCTTCAGCTTATGCTTCAAGTTCCCCAAGATAATCCCAAAGCAATCGAATTCTTATTCCGGTTGAAAAAACGGTGGGATATATAAAAGATCATGTGGCCATGAAGATTTGTAGTGAGTTACAACTTGTACCAATAGAGCTGTTCAAATTTCTTGTGCTTTGATGTGGAAGCCATTTTGTTCACCTATAGTTTTGGTACTCACTTGAAATTTGAATGCCTGGAAATTGGTAAAATATTGGAATAGTTTGAAGGCTGGGAATCTCAGTTAACTGTAAATGGGGTGCCTATTGAGTCTTGGATATTAAAGAATATAAATTCATCAATCTTCCTGATATTAATGAAAAAACTTGTCGAAGACTTCATATATTGGCCCTATGAGTAATGATGGTTAATAAGTCCATGAGTTGTTGCAGTTGACTGATTGATGGTTTATGCAGGAGTTATTCATGTGAAATATGAGCAATGATTGGTTTTGTCTGCTTCTGGTGGCTTATGCTCATGGATTTTTGCCAAGCGAGAAAACCCGACAACTTTGTGATGAAGTTAAAGAATACTGCAAGAATGGTTACCATAACAAATTGCTGGAAAACCCATTTCAGAGATAGAGTCAGGGTATGTTTGATCATTGTGAAACCAGTTTCTATTTAATTGACTGCTTATAGAATGCCTCTTTAATACTCCATATTTGTGCAGAACGAGTGATCTGTGGCATCTATTTGTTCCTTTTTCAAATATCTCTTTTTTGTCCACCTTTTTCTGCACTTATTTAGATTTTTCAAACCATTGCATTGGTAAGAATAATTTGGAGGGGGGGTTATGATCATGAACCAAGTTTTGGTGTCATTGCATCAGTTTTTTTAAAGGAGTTTGTTTCCCTAATACTGGGGTGGTAGTTTTCATAATACAGGACATCTCTCTCTCTCGTGTGTGCCTGCGTGTGTGTGCATGTGTGTGGGGAGTAGGGACGTGCGTATATTGATTGTGTTGTGAGTATATTGATCGTGTTGAAGAGTTGATGCCGCCTTTCTTTACTGCCGATCAGAGGAACAATGACCTTAAACAATGCAACTTATGTTGGACATTTCAGGACCTCTGTGTGCGTGCGCGCACTCCTGTGCATGCATGTGTGTGTGTCTGTGTTTGTGTGTGCATGTGTGCGTGCTTGTTTGTTTTGTCGTTGCTGTTACTTCACATGTTTTAGCTTGTAACGGTGAGAGAAAAGAGAGTGCCACATTTGATTTCTCTCAACTCAAACAAAGAAAAGAGAGGGCTTTGATTGTTAAGCACCTCAAATTGTAGATATTTAGGAATTGGGCTTGGGCTTGAGTTGTCTGCAAACTTGTAACGCTGCATCTCAAGTTCGATTCCTACCATTGAACTATCCACCAAGAAAACAAAACAGTCGATATTTGATTCATTTATGAATAGCTTTTGAAGTTAGAAGCAGCACAAGCCTACTCTGTATCACCTGAGCTAGCGAGGACTTGGGGTCGCAATTCCATATGGTCTCGAGCTGGGGAATGAGTCATTGTTGAGTCTCGGGAAGATTTTGTCTTATTTTTTTACTGTTTTCATGTTGCACGGAGCCATATGATTCTTGAGTTCTAATGAGATTTTTTTTCTTTTTGCATTTTATTGTTTAACATGAGACCTAGAATCGATGCATGAACTCAAATCACTTGAATCCCAAGCTAGTAACAATTTCTTGTTTTTTAAATACATGTTCGAAAAACTAGTACAATATCTAAAGCTTTAAACAAATTGCATTTCATGATCAAGGGGTCGTTTGGATACCTGAAAATATAGTCTATGAAATATATTATTGGCATAATACATTATTGCATAATGCATTATATGGATTGTTAATGTTTGGGTAGTATTTACATGCAACATGGGAAATACATTGCTCTTACTTGACACGGTTTAATATTAAATTATCTATATTGCATTTTAAATTTGCTCTTACTAGAAATAGCGATTTAATATGGAATTCTCTACAAAGAGAGGATTTATCTTTTGTACGTACAATCATTCTTGTCTTTTAAATTTCAAAATGAGTGGTTGTACTAATGTTATTGAATAAATATAAAATTTCAAAAAAAAAGAAGCCACTTCATGATTCACCTCAAGCCATTCAATTTGACATCTAATATTTGAGAATGATCGTGACCTTCATTCACAAAAAATAAATGGTCTTTATGTAGACATTCCTATTTAATATTGAAATACGTATGTATAGATAGCATGACTATACCATGCTTGTCATGCCTCAAAGAATAATAACTTAATCGTGTGATTAAACACCGAGTGAACTATTTTAATTACAACTTTTAAATAATGTTAATTTTGTAGTTTAAACAATAAATGGTGATGTATTTTTTAAAAAAATTATTATAAAATGGTAAAGTATTTTAACAATTAGATTGAGATATTAGAAGAGTCCAATGTGTAAGTAATTTATCACTTCTTTATCTGTATTTAAATCTTAATCTAATTTTTTTTTTTTTTCAAAAGAGTACTCATTATAATTTAAATAAATTATATTTATCATTTTTTTGAGTCAATCTAAACTCTAATCCCAAAAAAATCCTTTTTTTTTTATCAAAAGATTTAGTAATCATTATAAAATGCAGTGCTTGATGAAAAGAGAGAAAGGGCGTAGTGCTTGATGAATAGTGGGAAAGGTTGAAGAGGGCAAACATAGAATATTTGGACGAGAGGGAAAGCACGTAGTGCTTGATGAAGAATGAGAAAGGTTGAAGAGGGCAAATATAGAATATTTGGTTGAGAGAGGTTCATGAACCAAGGAAGAGAAGACAGAAAGGTTGAGGAAGCAAGGAATAGGAGAGGGAGTGGATTCGTGCAAAATGATGAAATGAGAAAAATTAATATCATGATTTAGAAATCGCCTTGAATCTGGAAAAGGGGAACTTGAGAGAGGAAAGTTGTAGGCTTACCAGGTTGAGAGAAAAAGAGCTTGGGAGAGAGAGAGCTTGAGAGGGAGCAGATGATGTACAGGGAAAATGTAGACATGCACAGTACATTACTTGTATGTACTCGTCAAGCGGGTAAAAGATTTCCCAGCCCTCTCCGTGTGCAATAGATTTCACGATATTAGAAGGAAAGATTGTGTAATCTATTTCCATTTTCTTGCTAATAAATGTACCAAACATTGTAAATGTCATATTTTCTAGTAATCTATCTCTGTAATATATTTTAAAGTAACCAAATGCTACTAAAGTTGTTTTTGAAATGTTAAATTGGAAATTTCTTACTAATCTATTTTCGTGTAATATATTTTCAAGTAACCAAACGGCCCTTAAAAGTTGTTTGTGAAATGTTAAATTGGAAATAAGTGAATAAAATTCAAGACATCATATTGTAGCACTTACCACCTAAACCGGCAATGAAGTTATAGATGTTTATTGGTTATTACGCAAAATATTAAAATTATCGATGTTAAAATCATATCAAATTTTAAGATTCTTGCGCATCAGATTTTCATTCCCTGAAAATTTGAATCCAAAATCTATTAGAGATAGACTTTGGAGAGATGAGTCATTTAAATAAGTGAGGCTACCGACTCATGAAAACCTTTTCCTACAAAAAATGTGAATTGGCACCTACTCGAACTTTGTACTGAATTACTTATGAAACTTGTACCGATTGGGAAAGGGGTTAGGATTGTGGCCTCTCACATCTTAGTCTTCAGGTTGTGGTTTCTATTTTTACTGACACAACTTTATTAACATTTTTAAAAACTAACTCTTGAATTATTTGATAAAAAATGAGTTGGAGCCTGTTTTCCCCCATTAAATTACCTAAAAAAAAACTTATACCAATTGTTAGACATTAGTTCTTATGTAAATTCATTACCAACTATAGTAGAAAGCTATATATATTTTTTTGAATTTTTTTTTTTTTAAATTTGTTAATCATAATATTTGAATTCAAAACCTTATCTAACACTACCATATAACTAACAGATTGTCTATAAAGAGATCATTTATCTTTAGTACATGGAGGTCATAATCATTTTTATCCCGTAATTTTAAAAATGGGTGGTTGCAAGAGTGTTATTGAATAGACATAAACTTCAAAAAAAAAATTTTCAGACTTCATGACTCACCTAAAGCCATCAAATTTAACATCTACTTAGTGAGAATGATTGTGACCTTCATGTACAAAAGATAAAGAGCCTCTTTGTAAATAATCCTTCTAAATAATCATTGTTAAGATAAATAATTTTATAAGATGTTCTAATGTTCTTGCATCACTTATCATGAACCAAAAGAAAATAGAAATTTAACCTCAAAATATTATTTTAAAATTATTAAATATAAGGTCCAAAAATGCTCCAAATCAAAGTTCATAACACTTTATTTTCTAAACTTTAAAATCTGTTTATTTTTTCATATTCACAATCACAATGCCCAAGATTGCCGACCACTCAAATTTTAAACCCACAATCTTTCACTAGAAAATGATTCAATTAGTAGAGAAGACATCATTCAAAGGCTCTTAAAAAATTATTAAGATGGTCAGAAGTTTCCAAATAATATCAAGTATAATTATTAATCCAAAAGTGTAATAAGAAATACCTAAATCGCCATCGTTCATGGTCGATGACTTTCAACAAGCAAGAGCATTTTCGGGACAAGCACATATTTTTTTGTCATTTTGTTGGGGCCTCTTACCTGTAGGTGTGGCAACTGAGTAGGGTCGACCTATTAGCCTGAGAGATCGATTTAAAATGAGTTCAGTTCTTGACCTAGCGGGTCAGTTCTAGGTCCAAATAGCTTGGATGTTCAGGTCCATTTGATTTATTGTGTGGTTTTTGGGTTTAGGTATAGGTCAACTCGAGTTGATATTTTATCAATGTTTAAAAAATAGAGAATCGGACTGGAACCAGCTGGTTTAGATAAGGAACCATGGTGCCGTCTAGTTCTATCAAAATATCAGGAACCAATTGTCACAAAACTGGCCCGTCCTTTTATTTTTTATTTTTATTTTTTTTGTTCTCTAAATTGTTTTGGTTTGATCGTCGATTTGGACCGTCAATCCACCTTTGGACCTCCAATCCACCGAACAAGACCAATTTGCTATTCATGATACCAATTCGTTTCTTTAAATCTTAATATTTATATACAATATAGGGAAAATTACTAAAAAAAACCCCGAATGAGCTTTTTAGACCTTCTATCCCCACTTTAATATTTCTTTACTCTTTTTTTAAAAAAACCAACTTTCCTTACTAAAACCCCCACAACTAAAAAAGGTTTATTTTTTTGGCCAAAAATACCCCTTTTCGTACCTTGAACGTGCGATTAAATCCTGCAGACGGATCCCAATTTCCATTAACATCGAACTGCGGTTATTATTTGTCGGAGTGGTTATGAGAAAACAATATGCCGGATCGAATATCTAAAACGTCGGACTGAAGTGCCTGTGTATCTAGGAAACATATCGCCGGAGTGCTTCTTAGTTTTGCCGGTACGTGTTTTTTAGATTCTGGACTGGCTATTGACAGTGAATCAATCTCCGGAGTGAATTCAAGAAAAGTCGGAGTGCCTTTTAGTATTGCCGGAGTGCTTTTTATAGATGCCGGAGTGCTTTTTCATAGTGAACTAATCTCCGGAGTGCTTTCAGCAAATGTTGGAGTGCTTTCTAATATTGCCGGAGTGCATTTTATAAATGCCGGAGTGCTTATTTAACAGTGAACATTCTCTGGAGTGATTCAGAAAATGCCAAAGTTCTTCTTAGTTTTGCCAATGCGCGTTTTTTAGATTCCGAACGGCCTATTAACAGTGAATCAATCTCCAGAGCGGATTCAAGAAACGCTGGAGTAATTTTTAATTTTGCTAGAGTACTTTTTATAGGGGCCGAACTGATGTTTTACAGTGAACTAATCTCCAGAGTGCTTTCAAAAAATGCCGGAGTGAGCTTTAGTTTTGCCGAAACGCATTTCATAAGTGCCCGACTATGATCTCCGGAGTGCTTTAAAAAAATACCGGATCCCCCAAAAATGCTCCAAGTTCTTAGTTTGTTCCTTCATTCTTTGTTTGCTATAAATACTGGTTTTTTTTTACCAAACAACCTTCTTTTTCTGTCTAGAAAATATTTGTGCTGCGTGAAATCTATCTCTCTAGAATACCTCTATTGTGTGAAATCTCTATCTTTCATTCTCTCTAAAGTACCTCTATTGTGTGAAATCTCTCTCTCTCTAGAATACTTCAATATTATGCAAAATCTCCCTATATCTCTCTCTCAAACACACGGACGCTCTCTCTTATCTCTACTCTCTAGAATAATTCTATATTGGGTTGGAATTTCTTATATATGTTATTTATTTTGCTTATAGAGCGATTCAATTAGTGCGAGGAAACCAACGGAGAGAGAAAGAAATTCGTGGAAAGGGAAAACCATGAGGAAGCTAATGGAGAGAAAAATCCGATGGAAAGAAGAAGTGAAGAAAGCGTGAGGAAAATAAAGAAATGTGTAAAAACCAGGTTTCGTAAAAAAAACAGAGTAAATGGGTTAATGGGAAGGATACCCGATAAACGTCAAAACGGGGTAAAATTGCCCTTAACTCATCTTTTTTCGGGTTAAGGGTTTTAGTAAAAAAAATTGATTTTTTAAAAAAGAAGAGTAAAGAAAAGTCTAAAAAGCTCATTTTAGATATTAGTAATTTTCCTTACTATATACGTGTATATGCAATGCTAAATTTATACTGATAAATAATAATAGTTTTTATTTTTGTTTTCATCTAAACCCAGACCCAAAAGTCGGATAAGTCCGGTCTGAGTCCAATTACATAGACCGCCCACCAGTCTTGAGTATGGGTGAAGCCACAACCTAGTTCGTGACGTGACCCGGAATCCAAAAGGCCCATTAGCACCCCTGCTTATACGGGCTAAATTACTAAAATACCCTTACTGAGGTTATAGGGCTTTCGCCATGTAACTCACACTCTCTTCTTCAAAACCGCCACTTGTAATTGCGGTTTGGGACTGGTGGTGCCCTGCAAGTCCCTGGCCTCTCCGCAACTTTTGCCATGGGTTCTCTCAAAAGAAAAACCCTAGATGGCTCCTCTGAAGAAGACCTCAACCCTTCTCTAAAACACCAGAAAGATGGTAACTCTCCACCGCTCCTCTCAAACAAACCCGTAACTTGTCATCATGATGTCTCGTACCCTGAAGGTTTTGTTCGTCGCAGAGGCCCGGAAAAGCCCTTGCCTTTGAAACCGGCAAAGGAATTTCCCTTTGAGCTTGACCCGTTCCAGCTCGAGTCTATCAAGTGCCTTGACAATGGTGAATCAGTCATGGTACGTTCTCAAGATTCCCAATCCTGTCAAATTATTGCTAATTTCCCGCTCTTTCTTCTATGTGACTATGTTTTCTACGGTTTTGAACTATTGGATCGTGCTTGTAGTGCTTTGAAGTGGCCAATTTGTGTTTCTAATGTTTTGAGGCAGTGAAGTTGTATTTCTTGGATTTAAAGTTACCATTTTGTTTTGGGTTCAGAGTAACGTCTAGAGTTCCATTCTCACTATGTACAGAGTTCATGTTCATCATCTTTTTCGCAACTAATTGGGGTCTGATTAGACGAATCCTGATCTACCATTCTACCCTATTAATGCCACACCCTCGGTGACACCATAAGTCCGTATGTATTTTCTTAGTACCTCCAATCATCTCATTTTGGCCTACCCTTTTTTCCTTTTGAGTCTTCTACTCGAACTAACTCACACTTCCTAGCACGTGTTGTACTGGGTTCTTGCTATGACCAGCCCTAAGTATGGCTTATTGGTGCCTGAATGTTTTCATTTCGAATTCTATCTCTTTTTGTTTTGCCACTCATCTATCTCAACATCCTCGTATCCTTGTTTCTTGACAGCTCAACTTTCCGCCCCATAAAGTAAAGCTGGTCTCACAGCGGTCCAATAAAACTTTCCCTGCAGCTTCATTGGTATGCAGCGATCAACATGTCCGAAGTTATTAAAAAAAGAAGAAAAAGGCAACCCTTTTGTGTTTCTCTGTCTCAGAAATTATGAGTTTTATACTTTATTTGCACGAGTTCTTAATTACCGAATGACCGTTTTTTTTTTTTCTCTAGAACTTGAAGGTTGAGCCAGTAAATGATTAAGTAGTTAACTCTAAATACTATCTTTAACACTTAGGGTTATGGAACATTGTGATATTTTTTGTGGAAGGTTTGGAAATATGTAAGAAAGTGTGTGAACTTAAATTTATGGCGGAGTCACCTAACAAAACGTGAAATTTGATTTTGGCCAAGGTTTTAGGCGGCAGCTGTGAGAGCTCACTTAACCTTGTGAATATGTTTTTACCATTCTAGTAATTGGTACTGGGTTTAGCTTTAGGTTTTTGGTCTTTTAAGGTAAATTGTATGGATAATGATTGTTTCACTAGAAGGTACACTTCATTGTGCTCATTTCTAATCATATAACTTTCTTCAGAGTAGTGTTAATCAATTTCGGCATTGCTTTGTTTCTTGTATGAAATTCATTACTTCATCCTCACGTCTCACAAGCAAGCCCATTTTAATGATATCTCAAAATTATATATTTGAATTATTTCTATCTGTTACAAAAAATTGACTAATTGCAGTAATAAAAAGAAAAAAATTCTAGTTCTCTCTTAACATATTTGGTTAACCATCACAAAATCTTGTTATGATATTTAATGAGTTTATTTTGAGCACTTGTATATAGACAGACACATGATATATTTCCGATGAAGAGATGATTGATAAAACTGGTTTTGTTCTTTTTTTTTTTCAGGTATCTGCACATACTTCTGCTGGGAAGACTGTTGTTGCTTTATATGCCATTGCCATGGCTTTGCAAGACAAACAGCGCGTCATCTACACATCTCCAATTAAGGCACTTAGTAACCAGAAATTTAGAGAATTCAAAGAAGAATTCTCTGATGTTGGTCTGATGACTGGGGATGTAACAATTGAACCAAATGCCTCTTGCTTGGTGGGTTCGGTCTTTTGATGATCTTTAGTTTTTTTGGGGTTCTATTCCGTGCTCTTGTTTTCTTTTTGAGAATCGCATGACCTTTGCGAAGTTGCTAACAAACCATTACTGTGTAGGTCATGACTACCGAAATTTGGCGTAGTATGCAGTACAAGGGATCCGAGATTATTCGGGAGGTATCCTGGATTATTTTTGATGAGGTGCATTACATGCGTGATAGAGAAAGAGGGGTGGTTTGGGAAGAAAGCATAGTCATGGCTCCAAAGAACTCTCGTTTTGTGTTCCTTTCAGCAACAGTGCCTAATGCCAAGGAATTTGCGGATTGGGTTGCAAAGGTTCTCCCTGTCTATTCGAGCCAATTATCACTGCTTCCTTTTTTTTCTATTTATTTCCCTATCTTTCTTTTTCTTTTAATGGATGTATGCTTTAATTCATTGGTTATGGAGAAGCATAGTCCATAGTGATTGTTGCTATTCAGGGTGGGAGGGAGGGAGGGAGGGTGCCTTTTTTTTTTGTGTGGGGGGGTTGGGGTGGGGTGGGGTTGTGTCCTGTTCTTGTGGGTTCATTCTCTCTACATTACCATCCATTTTTTTTTTTATGGTGATGACCCAGCTGGACTATTAGTATGTCATGCCCTTCTGGGTTACATACTTGCATTATACTTGCTCTTCTTTCATATTATAAAGTTGTCTGCCCATGCACTTTGGCCCACAACATACTGCTTTGGGATCTTATTGCTATTACTTTCTTTAGTGACATCACCCTACAAATTGCAGGTACACCAGCAACCATGTCATATAGTTTATACAGATTATCGGCCTACCCCTCTCCAGCATTATATCTTTCCTTCAGGGGGGACTGGTCTATACTTGGTAGTAGATGAGAACGGAAAATTTCGAGAGGACAGCTTTCAAAAAGCTTTAAATGCACTTGTTCCAGCCAGAGAAGGTGGGGAAAGGAAAAAGGAGAATGGTAAGTGGCAAAAGGGATTTTTAACACGTAAGGCTGGTGAAGAAAGCGACATTTTCAAGATGGTGAAAATGATAATGCAACGACAGTATGATCCAGTGATCCTCTTCAGCTTTAGCAAAAGGGAATGTGAGCTTCTTGCAATGCAGGTAAACTCTTTGTTAGTTAATTCTGTGGATCATTATTATGTAATTTATGAGTTTCTATGATCAATATATAATAGGAAATATCAATTTTGTCAGATTCGCTTCGGAGCCTTCTTCGGTTTGGTGAGAAAAACCAAGCAATTTGGTGCTTCGGCCGATTTAGGGGAAGACTTTGGACTTTTTTTTTTTTAATTTAATATAAATAAACTAGATATTTTTATATAAACTAAATAAAAATAATGAAAAAAATTAATAATTAAAGAAATAGTTTTGTATGGGTATTTCTTTTCTGATTGAAGCAGCCCGAAGCTTCGGCCGAAGCAGACCCGAAGCAGCCTGAATCTGATTGAAGCAGCAGCACCACGCTTCTCTTCGCTTCGGTTTATGCTTAAAATCCGAAGCCTTTGGCTTCTTCGGTCGAAGTGATGTGAATTTGATAACATTGGGAAATATTGACATTATGGAAACAATAAGAAGCAAAAAAATAAGATTACCTTATTATTTTAATGAAAACACAAGATATGTCAGTAATCATGTCCATTCTTTTTCTCTGTTTTATATTTTCTATAGTAGTTTTGATGAATGGACAAATTGATTTGTGAGCTATGATGCCATATCATCTGCTATTTCATCACACCACCTTCATTTCCCTGTTGTGACGATATAAATAACTGCAGAATGGTTGTTAGTTCAATGTCTATTAATTAATGGGTTTATTATATGGGCACAAATTTGTACCGGGGCATGCTGGGTTAAATGTGTAATGGCATGTTTAATAATAACAGTAGTGGATCAATTTAGCAGGAGCAATTGATGATGTCATATCTGTACACCTCTGACTCTCTTTCTCTGTTTGGCAGATGGCTAAGATGGACTTGTGTGATGAAAATGAGAAACAGCTGACAGAGAATATTTTTTGGAGTGCTATGGATCTTCTTTCAGATGATGATAAGAAACTTCCTCAGGTTTTTCTTCTTTTTATTTG